AGGTCAAGTTTACATTTTACTCTATAAAGAATATTTATTTTCATACTTGTAACTTGTAAAGAACTTAGCAAGAGATGTTTGACCCGGCAACCAAGACCTCATTTTCGTGGCAATTTAACTACGTTGTAACGTCTGACAAATAGCAGGCTAATGTTATAAGCCGAGGAGGCCGGGACGATGCCAGGATCCAATTGCTAAGTATAGTGGCCTATCGGTAGAGAGCTCGTTAACGCCCTAATGTAATTTCCAGCAACAGTTGTTTATGAAATTGACTGCGGAAGAGATCGGAGTCGCCCCTTGTTTACGACGAGGGTGCCGTCTTTTGATTACTCGAGGGAATTTATACTATTGTGCAAACTAATGCACATACAATCTTGCAAGCCCGGGTTATTGTCGACATCTGTCGACTTTCGTCCACGTTATGAATGCACGAGTGCTATCACTGGCTTAATAGGAATCTAAATTAAAAAAAAAGAAATATTACTACTTATCAACTCATCATTAAAAATTATGTACCTATGCAAAAAGGATATGTATATATATATATATATATATATATATATATATATATATATATATATAATTCAAAGCATTTCTATAAATACAGTACGTGAAGGTAATATGGTCACCCGGTTAATATGGGCATTTCTTATAATACAAAAACTATAGCCTTGTTTGTATAGAAGGCTCTATGATTCGATAGCGGTGACAATGATGTCTGTGGGCCACAGCATCCACTTACCATCAGGTAGACTGTGTGCTCGTCTGTTACATTTATTCTATAAAAAAGCAAATCAAAACCCATTGAGCTATTATGTACTACGTACTAGAGGAGACACTGCATTCAGCTACTCTGTTCCACTCAACTGCGGTGCATGCACTGCACTTTAATCAGTCACTCGCTAGGCGCTTGTAGAGTTGTCACGTGTTGTGTTGATTTAAAAAAAAATCTCTTGATAAAAATATGCCGTCTTGTGTACTTAGATATTGCACAAATAATTCAAGAAATGTCAGAAAAACCAAGGAATTACTTTTCATCGGTTAATAAGATACTTATACAATAAAAAAGTATTATAAATTAATAATAAAGCAAATTATTCCTAAGACGCCATCTCGTATCATTGAATATAGATTATGAAATTAATATGTTCAGATGCGACATTTCTGTGGGTACTTAAGTTTAGGACGAATATATTATTATACTACACATTTTTTTTTGTAGAAACATATAAGTTATTATAATTAAGCTAAATTTTTCATGTTTAAATCTGCTTATTATTCTTTTATTTATAGGTTATTTTTAGGTTTCCACTTCAAAGTCAAAGTGGAATAAATTCGTCCATTTTTAACTCTCGCGTGCCCAGCATTTATGAACGATTATTTACAACATTTATGATTCTAATTTAAATAAATATATTTGTAATTTAAATTTTATGTTAATAAGTTTTGTTAAACATACATTTAGTACGTTTTTTTATATTTGACATAGATACCTTTTAAAATATTCAGATAACAATATCATCAAAATGTAATTCTGACATAATATTATGTAATATTATATTAAATTAGCACATATACAAAATAAAAAACAATTTAAAAAATTGTAAGTACTCGATATAATTAACAATACAATATAAATAAACAATTATTACATACTGACCATTCTACTTACGTATAATCTATAATAACAAAAACTGACCGCGCAAGCGCAAAGCGCGTTTATACCAACTGCGCATGCGCGACTCTACTATTACCGCGCATGCGCGAAGACATAGAAGTAGCGCACAATTTTTGTTTGTAATAGCTTCTCTAGTACGTAGTACATTATAACTCAATGTCAAAACCAAATCAAAATAGCAATACATCAAAGTAATATTTTAACGAGTAAAGGCACGCTGCAGTTAAATTATGACAACGGTAAATAATTGGGTGCGTTTGGCAGAAAAAAGCGCTAGCAAGCGCTTATAAGCGCTAAAATAGTTTTCGGCCAGGACACGATTGCTACTTCAGTAGCGCTGACACAATCCGCCATTTTGCTTATTTAATTTGTTTGTTTTGAAGTAGAGTTTATAAGTTGTTTTGTGCAATATTAGTTTTAAGTAATATAATGACATGAATAAACATATACATGCTATTAAAAACTCATGATTGGTAAGTTTTTAATATGCATATTTTACAAACATATATTTAAATTAGGTTAGATTCCCCCGGTTAAAACTAACATCGTGTCCTGGAGGAAAATAGCTACTTACGATTTGACAGCGCTTACCGATTACGATCGCCATTTTGCTTACAAGCGCTTGCTAGCGCTTTTTTCTGCCGAACGCACCCAATGTATAGTTCGAGCGGGCAAGAATTATTTCGGCTTGTTTTACCTTGTCCTTAAAAGTGACAACGCATCTGCATTTTTATTCATAGTCGAGAGGTATCTACTGGTCACTGTTTTCGGTTACTATCAGGTGAACCCCTTTGTCGTATCTCCTCAGTTTCAAGGCACTCCCCTTGTTGCCTCAGCCAGTATCAGAATCCTCGGCGTCGACATATCGAGTGACGTGCAGTTTCGTGGTTACTTGGAAGAGAATGCCAAATTGGCCTCTAAAAAGCTTGGCGTGCAGAGCGGGACAGTATTTCATGCCGGCACACCGCCTGCAACTTTACAAGGCGCAGGTTCGTCCGCACATGGAATACTGTTCCCATCTCTGGGCTGGGGCTCCCCCAGTACCAGCTCAGTCAATCAAATAATATAGGGTCATAGGATGCTGTTTTATCGACGCTATTTTGACAGTTGACATTATAGTAAATATTTTAGTTGATTTAGTATGGTGTAGTGTAGTTAGTTTTTTAAGTTGAATTTTTGAGGTATTTCCAATTAGTGTCAAAGTTTGTTTGCTATTGTTTTCTTAATATAATAGTATAAGACTTTATGTTTTTGTCTTTGTCCTCGTTCTAGTTTTGGTTGATTAGGGCGGCAAAGCTTAAGGTGACCATATTACCCCCCCCCCCCCCACGCACCTTACCACGACTACTAGTAAGCACGAAATGAGATAATGGATTCTATTATGCCACCATACACGGCTAACCTGACCTTATCATCACCTTTACGTTAAGAATGAACCCACTGACGCAATTCTTAAAAAAATTTCTTAATGTCACTACGCTGGGCCGGTGACTGGGTGGTGCGATCTTGTAGAAACTGACACCGATATCCGATACATTCATACTCATGAAGCGCCTGCCGTTTTCCAACCTGTGGGCTCAGTTTTTTTTTTTTTTCATTAATAGAAAGCGTTACCGTGGGGATACTAGGATTTTGCTTCTGTGTCATGGAGGCAGTTTACATACATACATAAATTGCACAAATGTAAACATCCAGGCCCGGAACAATAACTTGTAGGTCACACAAATACTTGTTCCGTACGATGCCTGATTTCTTTAATTAAAAAACAATTCGTTTTATTTTACGAGCTTTTTTGCAATAAATTAAGTACATGAACAAAATATAAACAAAATATCGGTACATTTATTTATGAACCCTTTAATTTTTTTTTTCTTTTTTAGGCATCCTTAGTTGGATCTCTGTTGTTCGAAAATAAAGTGATTTGATTTGATTTGATTAGTTGCTAAATGAATAGTTTTTAAGTGTATGTTACCACAGCAATCGATCGATCGTCGATCGATGGTGGAATGCATAAGTCGACGTTAATCGATAATTTATAGCACACGGTGGTATCGATCGATAGTAGAATGGATTGGTGATGTCGATCGAGCTGCTTGATTACTCGAGAACCCGCCCCGCTCCCCTGACCGTATATTGAAAGTAGGGACGCATTCTATACCGATACCGATATGTCGGCGATACTCGAAGTTTGCAGTGTGTGTTTGTTTGAAGTGTCAATTTTCTCCGCAAAACTTAAGAATACATTGTTTTTTAAACAAAAATCTCATCAATGTTAATTTTATTTACCTAAACTATTAACAAATCTCAACCTTTCCATAGTTTTAAACGTTTTTATTTAGTTTGTTCTGTTATTTGTTCTTTTTATATTAATAAAAAATAACCAGACTTGTGTTTTATTTATTGTACCTTCATATTTGAATTCAATAAGCGTATCGCTATCATTATCGGTATCGTATCGGCAAAAAGGCGTATCGAGGCATCCCTAATTGAAAGATGCTGAAGCCCACAACCACGGTAATATTATCTATATAATATTACCGTGCCACAACCACATCGATTAATAATGTCGATTGATGTCGATTGATATTTGAACAAAGTTTTATCGACCAGTATCCGTCGATCAGCTGAAGCTACCATGCCAATCGATCGACGTCGATCGATTTATTGGTCGATCAATGACATCGATTGACGATAGATCGAATCGGTTTTATATGAACCTCGTATGTAAATACGTATCGTTATTTTTTTGATTCTTGAGTATTTTCAGGGGCATTAGCCCCTGAGCTACCACGGCTCACGGTTGTTAGTCTATGCTTATATTTATTTTAAAAAAAATTAGTCTAGTGGTTATAAACACGGTTGCTGATTGTAAGGTCCTAGGCTTGAGCCCGGGTCGGGCTAAAATCAGTTATTGGGTTTTTCTGACAAGCAATCCCGGCGTCAGGAAGTTGGCGGCGTTTCAGCCCCGTGCCTCTGAAAGCATGTAAATCCGTTGGCTTTGTGCTTGATCTCTCTCCGATCGTGTCGGATTAACGTCCCATCGGACTACAAGAGCGAGGGAATAGAGAGTGTCCTTGTGCTTGCGCATACACTCGGACACTGTAAACCTGTCCTCCGCAGATGATTAGCACTCGTTGAGGCAGGCCGCCGTGACCGAAATTCGGTCTGGAGGACATTATTATTATTGTATAAAAATTCAAAATCCTGTATACATATATACATATATATCCTGTTATCCAAAAATTGCTCTTAATTTATTTGTGCATGAATTTGAATCGTATTATAGTGGTGTTTAAAGTTTATATACTATACACAGATAGTATTATAGTACCCTCGTTGCGATCAACGGGTGTCTAATTAGTGATTCCGGTCCGGGCAGCGGCCGCTTCGCAACATCTTCATTCTGAGAATTGAAACATTAAACAAACTAGTCACGGCTCCAAACGAAATACAATTCAAAGGCGCCGTTCTTCAACGCGCACTTTAAACGGAACGAGGACATAAATCATAGTTATTTGAACATCCTGTAAATGATTCGGAAAAGTAGAAAATTGCGATGGGATGTGAAATTTTCGAAATTATCTTCAAATTCTTGTTGTTGACCCTTTTTGTCAATTTAACTAAAGGGGTAGAATAAAATAAAAGCCTTTTTTTGTAATTTAGGAGCGATTTTCTGCATTATTTTTCTTCTTCTCTCTAAAAGCTTCGGTACTTTTCTACCGACTACAAAAAAGGAGGAGGTTCTCAGTTCAACTGTATTTTTATATGTATTACCTAAGAACTTTTTTCTAGGTGAACCAATTTTGATGATTCTTTTTTTATTGAAAGCTGGTGCTTTATGTGGTCCCATATAAATTTAAATAGGATGTGACCAGTAGTTTTGAGTTATCCTTAATAATGAGCATTTAATTGACTTAGACTATATTGATCATATTCTCATTTTAATTATACTGAAGTCGGTTTTACAAAATTTAAATTTTACCACTTGCTTAATTGAATCGAGCTGGCCAAAAAATTATGCATAAGAAGTGATTTTTATTCTGCAGCAAATTTTGTAGAATAGATAAAAAGCAAGCTTACAACTTACGAGCGTAAAATACGCTGTGTTTTATATGGTGAGTGTAGAGAACTGGAGACCCTATTTACTTTAAAGGAGACATTCCATCTTAGTCTTTACCAGTGATAATGCATTTGCATTTTGATTCGTAATCGAGGAAAGATGTAGATGTCTATGGGCCACAGGAACCACTTACCATAAGGTGGACTGTGTGCTCGTTTGTCACCCTTCTCCTATGAAAAAAAGACAGCTAGATTACTTTAGATTTTCCATAGCATAGTGTCGTATGGAATCTTGCTATGGGATACATACTGGCGTCTGCCATTGAAACTCTTTTTGTTTTGCAAAAGAAAACCATAAAACATATTTTATTGCCTAAACCCGAAGGAGTAACTTAGATAAAAATAACAATGGCGAACGCCCATACAAATTTTTATGTCACGTAATCTGGAAGCGTCTTTACTAGTCGTTCACTTCATCATAGTACATCAAAAATATCAAAAGCGATTCACCATCTTTCCCTGAGATTGTTTGTCTAAAATTTTTTTAACGACAAGGCCGGGAATAATTGTTACGAGGCTTTAAAGATTTGTAGGTTATGTGAAATTATAACACTTAAATGGTTCAAGATTTATTATCAATTTATGAGTTTTTACCTACAGGATTTCAATAATTTAATCTTATATTGATGTTCAATTAATAATTATTCACCATTAGGTATATTACTGTTCCAAAGTTATTTTTGAGTAATCAACTTGTGGAGCAGATTAAACTCTCTATTATGGAATTTATTCGCCTATTAAGGAATTCACTGCAGAGAATTCAGAATAATATGTTTAGCCAAAGTACAAGTTCCACTTTAGAACTAGATACGAAATGAGGTGTAATATTTGACAGATTACATAGCGGGAAGTCAATTTGTTTGAAAAATGTAAAGGTTAATGTTTCTTTATATACTATTAGTTATATTTTACATGAATTTGATTAAAACCAAACCACAGATATTCACAAAAGTTGAAAAAAAAAAGAGTTAAAAGTGTGCAAAAAATTAAAGAATAAACTCCTGAGGCATTGTTTTGTGTATTAATATAATACTATAGAAAGTGATAAACTTTTACTCTCAATTAAATTACATTGTGTAACAAAAAACTTCGCCTGTGTTAACAGGCGACATCTGGTGAATGGAAGATTATTAGCCCTCATTGGATTGAAACTATTTATCAATATTATTCGACAAAGGTAAATAAAACAAAAAATTAATCATACAACATTTATTCGTCATCACCTTCCCTAATAACTACACCATCTAAAAACTCTGCCGGTGCCGAAATATGTTGCTGATGTCTGGCCCATCCTAAATACGAGTACCAAACTAAGGTCATGACATGTACGCAACAGCCTACTGTGCGCCGACCTACTAAACAGCTACAGCAGTACTCTGCGATATATATATATATATATATATATATATATATAATATTGCCTCCGGGTTACATGCCGTGACTTAATTTTGCCTCCATATTCAGATGGATCGAATTGCTCACTACAGATTTCTATTCTATATCCGCCATGGAAATGCACATGCTCGCCGTAATATGAGCGAGCTTGTTGAATTTGGTACGTTCCCAGGGCGAACAAAATCAGATCTTTCATTTCTAATATTGGAAAATATAAAATGTTATCCCTATCTGCAGTAATACTTTGAAAGTAGGATGTGCGTCTGTTCATATTTCGATCTTCAACCATATTAGCCAGATTATTTTCGAAATTCATTCGCTGCCTAATTATTTCTAATATTTCTGTGGCATATGTATTATCTACAAAGCGAACACCAAACCTGTTTAACAGAGCCGCTGCTATTTGGAAGCTTTGCATCATATGTGGTAAAGACCTATGGAAATATTCTTGTCGAAATATTTTCAAATCCCTTTTAAAATGTCCATTCACGGCCTCTACCACCCATCTGCAAATTGTGACACAGCGACTCCGATTGGCTTGAGCAGTAGTGAGTTGGTGTTCACCTTCTATCAAAGATTCTGGCATATATGGTTTGTACCCACATCCTTCTAACAAACTTATACTGTCTCTGAATCCCCTATCCAAGATAAATATATCATTCTCTCTAAAATATGATCTTAAGGCAGAACTCTCACTGAACAAATTGGTCATTATTTCTGCATCTGATGTAGTTGCTTTGTATGGGCCAAAACAATCAACAATATATCCATCACATGCGACAATCATGAATGGTTTTAATAAGTTTCTATATTTGTGATGGGAGTTACTCTGTTTTTGGAACATGTAGTTTGAACTTTTATTTATGTATATATATGTTCCATCACAAATTACAATAGCATTTGTGTTGTTTTCATTTTCATAAAGGCCATGTGGTATTGTTAACTTGTGCTCCAGCAGTTGCTCTCGCGTTAAATGGTTTATTCCCAAGTTTTGGGGTACAAAATCTAGGAGCAAAATCTCTCTTATTTTGTCTATTAAATTCTCTAGTGTTCTGCGTGGCACTTGTACTAAAGTGGTAATTCTTTCATCGGAATCCCCTGTCCTCATCTTCATTAAAAGTGCTGCTAGGCCTAAGCATCCTTTTCGTGCTTCATTTATACGCGGACCTTCTTCTAATATACTGTTGAACTTTTCTTTGGTAAGTCCAATCCAGTATTCGAATATTCTGTCATCCATTTCAAGAACATTTTCGAAGTCCAATATTGTATTAATTTTAATAAAAGAAAATACATGTTGCACTTGGTCTGCAGTAAAAGTGTCCAAACTATTTGCAGAATCATATAAAGTCTCCCATAAATTGCTACTAAAATGTTCACTGCAAACACGAGCTAGTTTAGGTATGTAGTAGTTGTGATTGCTTAGAACTATAGCACGGAGTTTGTCACTGATGCCATGCAATGTGGTACTGTTACAATCGTTGAACACACAACGTTTGTTGTTGTTAGCCGCTCTTCTATAATCTGGTAAAGTTAATCCATTTGGTGCACGACTCACTTCTTCATTTGAAACAGATGGCTCCACCTCTGCTACTACAGGCATATCTGCTGTTGACGACTCCTCAGTTGCAGATTGCGGTCTGTTAACATCATGGGTACGACGGGCCTCTCTTTGAGTGCGCAACCAACAAGGGTGACATACCTTATCAGTTTCTGTAACCTAGAAATAAAAAAATACTTTAGTGAGAATGCTGAACAATTTCTTTTTAAATAAAATGTGTGGGAAAACAGGCATATCATTATTTTACATGGTAGAGCCATGTTGCAGTTATATTAACAGTATAGTTGTAGCACGAATGGATGGATGGAGAATGGACGATGATCGGCTCGACCGGGGAAGGACCACGCTCTCACAGAATACCAGAGTCAAATAGTAGCTTAATGCTGCTGTGGTTTTTCCGTTTTTTTAATACACGTTTACTTTAATTACACACAACTTTCATCAAAAAACTGGCAATTATTAGCAATTAAGCTAATATTTTGGTATCGTAGTCCGCGCAGACCACTAGACTAAGACAGCCATCAAAAAATTTAAATATACATAGCATACCTGTCTTGGAGCAACCCTGTTTTCAATAATGGTAAACATCAACTGTTGCAGGTCCGTAGGGTTATCTCTCAATATTCTGTCACTTTGCCTTCGCAAAATGGAACACCCACATAAAAGGCATACACTAGCGTGGCCTTGGTGACTTGGTCCAGGTTGTTGGTCATCAATGCCAGATATTTCTTGTAAACTATGATTTACACTTATCATTGCTAGATCTCTGCATGCTTCACAGATATAGTCATCTTCGGTAATCTGAAAAATAAAAGTACTTGTTATTAGGATGTTTATTAGGTGTCATCCGTACATAGATCTATGCAAAAAATTTATTGTAATCTATTGTGTTTGGTAATGGCAACAGACGAGAGGTTAAATGTTGAGTTAAAGTGTCATCCATTGTTCATCATAATAATTTATGTGGCAATCATATTATGTATAATGGGTGCAGACTATTTTTAAAACAATTAACATTGATCATTAAAAACTCAGCTGGACATACCTATAATAGATTTATTATTCTGATAAATATAAGATATTACGGTTCCTTAGAATAAATACTTACGATTTGTGGATACACCCAGCTACAGAGTAATGTGGTAACTCTTATGTCGACTTCCAAAGCACGGTATCGACGCAGTGTATTAACGCATATGTTGCAATTGATGCACATAATGCGAGTAACTCTGCCACGATCGCTCATCATGTCTGAATGAAGTAATCCTGTGACAACAAGATCCAAATCGTAGGGCACAAATCGGAGTCCAGATGAGAACAGCGCAATGTCGTCGGGTGTAGCAGTATCGGAATCCTTGGGCACGCAATATTCACACAATAGAAAATCAATATCGGATAAGTCCAATGGCAGTCCAGGTCGAATAAAAATAAGGAAATCAAAAGGCAAAACCAAAAACACAAGACACAAGCAACACAAACGCCGCGAAAGCAGTGTGTGTGCCATAGATTACTGTATATATACTAGAGAGTGTGTGCGATGTGAGTGGGCGCAGTGTTGCCAGATGCCTTGAACCTTTTATCTGTATTAGAAACTGCTAAAATCTGTATTAAATCTGTATGCTATTTAAACTTAAAATCTGTATAATCTACCAAACTACCAAAATAGAGTGATTGATCATCATTATCATCATTGCTTCTTTTGAAAAACAAGGAATAACTACTAACGTGATAAGCTGATAAGGTTTGATTATAGTTATTAAATGATTTTTTTATAGAATAAATTTGACAAAGGAGCACATAGTCTACCGATGGTAAGCGGATACTGTGGCCCATAGACATCTACATTTATCCTCGCTTAAGAATAAAAACGCAGATACGTTGTGACGCCAGAGGACTATGATGGAATGCGTCATTTCCACTAAAAAAATGGTCTGATTCCTACACTCACAATACGAAACATAGCAGTATTAAGCTGGTATTTTACGCTGGTATTCTGTGAGAGCGTGGTCCTTCCCCGGTCGAGCTGACTCATTCGTAATGCAACCATAGTATATTTTATACGTGGCTCTACCACGTATAAAATATACACTATGCACTAAATTTTTTATATAGCAAAATTGAAAACATTAATTTAAGCAAACGACATATTAAAACTCAAATATTTACAACAAATGAACATATAATTACTTTATTATTTCATCATATATATGTTATATATACATATTTTATAATACACTTTTAATTCTGCCATACTAACTAATTACGTCGTGAAAAAATAAAGTTAACCATAAAGAATAGATTTATGCAATGATGTGTGTAACGCAGTATCTATAATATATATCTATCATATCTATCTATAATATCTTATAGTCACTTATTTTGCTTCATTCTGTTTTAAGTTGAATATTACGGTAATCCAATCAATAGAGTTAGAAAACTCTGTATAAAAATCTGTATCCAGTGCTAATCTGTATCACTCACCGAAAATCTGTATAAATACGGGGAAATCTGTATATATGGCAACACTGAGTGGGCGAGACGTAACGGAAACGTCATTACGACCCTGTCATAATTGACAGGTGTGTTGCTATAGCATTTATATTGGGTGCGTTTGGCAGAAAAAAGCGCTAGCAAGCGCTTATAAGCGCTGAAATAGTTTTCGGCAAAGACACGATTGCTACTTCAGTAGCGCTGACACAATCCGCCATTTTGCTTATTTAATTTGATAGTTTTGAAGTAGAGTTTTTAAGTTGTTTTGCGCAATATTAGTTTTAAGTAATATAATGGACATGAATAAACATATACATGTTATTATAAATTCATGATTGGTAAGTTTTTAATATGAATACTTTACAAACATATATTTAAATTAGGTTAGGTTCCCCGGTTAAAACTAACATCGTGTCCTGGAGGAAAATAGCTACTTACGATTTGACAGCGCTTACCGCTTACGATCGCCATTTTGCTTACAAGCGCTTGCTAGCGCTTTTTTCTGCCAAACGCACCCAATGTATCTTACTAAACAAACTGAATTCCAAGAATATATAGAAAATACGACATATTTTTTTAATTAATCTTATGCCACTATTGTTTAAATGATATTTATAATCATTATATTATTTTATCGTAAACCAGATGCAACAAGATGAGGTGAAAATGATTTATAACTACGAAACTGAAATAATTATAAACTGGTCACACTAAGTGACAGAAGCGATATCCGTTCAATTTTTTTACAAATTTGATTACAATCAATTATGGAGTAAATAATCTAAGCAATTATGTCCCCAAAAAAGTAGTGATTTTTATTCCGGCTTTTACTAGTTTTGATGTTTATTTGATAAAATGCAATAATTTTTTTGATTACGTCCTATAACAATTATAACTCAAGACGCTTCAAAATATTTAACATATTATTTCGCCATTGTCCTTTAAAGAAATGAATATATTAACTTTGTGCTCTTAGTTATCTATGATAAATTTAACGTACTTTTGTACACAAAAACAAAAATAGATTTATAAAAGACAATGATGTAAAATCTGTAAATACTAGAAACAAATACAAGCCAATAATACGAGCTACTTGACTTTATAAAGTCTGTAATTCATTCACGGGGCAAGTTATACGCTTTTCCAAAAAAATGACAGAAAATATGTCCAGCGTGTCTATCAAGGAATTTTGATTATTTATTAAACAAAAGCTGTTTAAATGGGGTTAATATAATGTTAAAGTACACTTGATTAATATTATAGCGAAGATACAAGATCGATACCGTGCTGTTTCTAATGTAATATAATATTTATGTACAATGGTACAACATTATAAATTATTATTAATATTGAAACAGTCTCGCTAGGTTTCTTGCTAGTTCTGCCTTAGGCAAGGGTTGTTTTTCAAACTAGAGTTAAAAGCATAATTGACTCAATAAGTATTTCTTTAAATCTATATCCGTACATGCGGCGATCAAGCGGTAAGATCTGTACGTTAAGATAGTGTCGGTACACCCGGAGACGCACTTATTATTTTGCTTTTATTTCATTATATTTTGGTGTGTTGGTTAAATACTTAAATATTTTTCTATTCTCAAAATAAAATAGAATACTATTTTATTCTTATGGTTATTGTAATAAAATACGAATATATGTAACAAACACAAGTTAGATAGCAAAGAACTTATCACCACGGCGCGGCGCGGTGTTTTGTTTTTGTTTAATCTCCATACTTGAACGCGTCCGACAGTGACGTCTCTCATCGTCACGAACTGGCCGGGCGCGACATTACGCTCTGAGCTCTGTACCCGACAACTAGTGTCTAGTAATAAATTATTGTAATTACTCATTAAATGTACTACATCCTATCGCGGAGTTTCATTGTACTTCAAATCCTCAAGAAATTGAAGATCAGCGTAATCAATTGGTGACCCCGACGTGATTTAACGCAAGGAAAATTAGTATATCGAAGATTTTGGTTAAATACTATACCGAACTAAGGCGAACCCAACCTCAAGGAATCCGCCAGCCAGCAGCTGCAGCCATTGTTCCGAGGGAAGTTCGTTTAATTTTTCCTTATCATCATCATTATCAATCCTGCCTGTTTCAATTTGTGTAATTTATGTAAAGTGGATAACGCCTTTGGCAAAAATTATTTACTACCGTCAACTTTAAAATATAAAAACGCTCAAATTATTACTGGTTAAAAATTACATTTTACGTTAATTTAACAAATATTCTGCCACATATTTAAGGTATAACGCCAATTTAAGTTAATTTAATAAAATAAATAAGTAGTTTTATTTCATTTACGCAAACATTGCACTTCTACTTAACCTAGTGTTCATAATTTCAAAACAGTAGTTATAATCTTTATTTATTTCATTTCTTGGTTGCAATTAAATAAAAAATTATATTGCATGATAAATACAGTGGTACAATCTATGCTCATTTTCCAAGGCCCATTTAAAAGGATTTTAAGGAACTGTATTATTAAACATAGTTGCCGACTATTCCAGGTTTATTCCGGTAAGGAAGATTTGCTGTTAATTCCGACAAGAACAATATCTATCGCCGTGCAATCATCAGCTGCAAAACCAGTTTATTAACTCGTCGCTACATTGAACTAACGTAACGTATTCACTATTTATATTGTTTATATTGCATATTCAGTGCGAACAAATTTACCTGTTTGTATTTACTAGTAGAAAGTTATTTGCACCGTCATAATGAGTGAATTAAAAGAACTTATTAAACAGAGAGGTCATATTCGAGCTCGGCTCACACTATTTGAAAAATATTTAACACCGTTAATGCATTGTAAAGAAACTGATACATTGAAGATACATGAATTGAACCTTCGATTAAATAAATTACGGGACCTTTCATGTACCTTCGAGGAAGTCCAGTCGAAAATTGAGATGTTGGATGAGGATACAAGTAAACAAATGGAAGAACGCGAAGCAACAGATAATTTATTTTTTAATTTAATTGCTCAAGCTCAATCGTTATTAGAATTTTTTGAAGATTCAAATAAGGTTGAATCCTCATCCAACCAAATATGCAATAGTTATAGTAATTTAAAGTTACCACCCTTAAAGATCCAACCTTTTGACGGCGCTCCAAATAAGTGGCTTTCCTTTAGGGATACATATTTATCCTTAATTCACAATAATGAAAATATTGACGACATTACTAAATTTCATTACCTTAAATCATATTTAGAGGGTAATGCTTCTTCTGTGATTAACTCCGTTACTGTATCT